AGCCTGCTCGTTATAACTATGAGGAAGGAGAGGAGCTGCGGGACGAGGAAGAGAGAGGAAACAAAGTGATTGCCTGGAGGAGCCGAGTTAAAGGCACATTGCAAAGAAATTGCGTTATTGCCATGGAGCCGCACGACCTTCCGAACAGCCAGCCTCGTTGGGGAGGGGGTTGTTCAGGATGTCGCATGCATGCGGTGGAGACACTCGAAGACGTAACCCAGACTTGCACTTGCCGTGAACCACGGCTTTCCCGATTCTGCAGGAATCCGATCCACCATGATTTGACAGTGAAACTTCCGCGGGTATCAATCTATCCCTTCCTTGAGGTCATCCAGAACCGAGCTGCAAGTTCAAGTGTCACAATGCCGGGCAACACCGGCAGGAGAACATCAGGCACTGCCTTGATTAAGCATGATTGTGGCATTGCTCGTGATGAGAGTGATACATGGCAGTGTAATTTTTGCATTGGAAAGGGATTCCTCAGTCGATTCCAGGAATGCCCAGCCTTTCCACTTCCTGTTTGAGGGCTGCCTGTGTAACCCTGCCGGTCCCAGGCTTACTTCTGGTTGGCCCGTCACCCTCTTTGAAGATCCAACGTTACACTGGCTTACCGGACGGATGCGACGGGCTGCTCATCCACTTTACTACTTACTACTTATATACTTGTTCATACTCGCCATTGTTTCTGGATTGGGATATCTTGCTATGATTAATTTAGTCAATGTTGGCTACTTAAGCTTCAAAGGAGCTCAAGAACGGTCTCAACATGACATAAACCCTCTCAACAAGACGAGGCATTTTACACCCCCGAATCCATCTCAGGTCGCCATTGCATACCGCTCGTCATCAGTAATGTGCCCAGAGAATCCGGATAAAGGCGGAATGGAATCACGCTTTCTTAATCAATTGGTCATGGAAACTCATATCCTCAGTTTCTCTTACATGTACAATTCCTGCTTTGCGGGGAATATAACTCACCCCACAAGTATTATCCCTCATGGCTGGGGTAAAATTGATTTACTAGTAGTCCAGGAATTTACCAGAATTGGCTTCCTTGTGTCCAATGGGCGTCGACCATCCCCTGATCTGGAAAAGTTCGTGGATGCAGGGACCACACGGCATAAGTACCATCCCCGCCTCTAAGCGTTACCCCGTATTCGTCAAAAACATCCGGGGTAGCTCTGTTAGAAATCCGGCTAGCTGCGGACAAGAACTCTTGACATTGCGGGGTTTGTATACACTAGTATTATTATTGAAAGGCTGCTGTAGATTGGCTCATGTATGTGTGTTATTGCAAAAAGGACGAGGTGGATGGTAGGCAGGAGCAAAAGTATCAAACAGCATACTCCCTTGTTGTGATGTACCTATTGAGAGTGAGATAGACGACCGACCCGAAGACGTTGATTTTTGTAGGTGTGCTATTGTACCGGGACCCTACTACTAGTAGTACTTGTTTCAATTGATGAAGAATGATATTGCATAGGCTAGGCCCGTTGAAGGGTGACTTCCCGTTTCAGCAATATGTTTTCCGACTATTCAAGTAGTCTCTGGGACCTATGTCCCCTCATACCTCTTTGTGACAATCTCAACCCTTTCTCTTCATCATCCTCATGCTTGGGGTGCCATGCAGCTCTTAGAAGGTTCAGATAAGACCCCATGGAACAGGGCTACCTTCCAATTGAACCATCACAACAAATTCATCCGTCCAAACCGCTCTCCACCGCTCTTCTCTACCATTGAAACCAGCTCGCAACCCGACTGCAGCTTCATAGGCCCTCAAATGAGCATTCATTCTCCCCCAAGGCCATTTTCAATACTTCTCTGCAGGAACATGAAACAGCCAGCCATTATCTCGGAACGACCCGGATTGCGAACTACTGTCCAGACTGCATCTACGGCATACGTATCTGGCACGAGAGACCGAACAATGGAAACAACAATTTTCTCGTCCACAATATCGCTAAGATAAACTCGGTTCTTCGCTGCCATACAGAGTGTTTTGCATCAGTCAGCCTGGGTTTGGTAGGACTTATTCCTACAAGCCACTCCTACCCTTCCCCAAAGAGATGAGAATGACTTATCATTCAACGATGATGTGATATGACTACAGAATAGCAGTGTATCTCCACTCTTCAGTGTTGAGCTACATCCACGACTACGCTTGGGTTACATGTTATCAACTTGAGCGACAGATAGCTATTTGATAGCAATCATTAGAGATCAACAGTTCAGTATGAAGCGTTTCCACGCTCCCTCGGCCCGAGTCCCCGATAAACAACTCAACACCAGGAAGGTCCATCCAGGCGCTAATCGTCCAGCAGTATGGATACCATGAGTAAGCAGCTGGCAGACCTTCCCAAAACGGCAAAACAAGACGCCATTTGCCCGCTCGTCCACCTGACTCGGCTCTCGCCAGTCTCATTGCAGCTTTGACTCTGGTCTGCACGATGTGAGTCCCAAGCACAATCTGGAGTGGTGGGCTAGACCCCAAGATCCACATGTGTTCCTCACCGACAGATAGAGAGGCAAGCTGCCACACCTCGCTTGAACTTCGGGTTTACCCCACCATCAAGCATCTCGTCAACTGGGGTCGGTTTATTAGGTAGCCGCGATTACCTGCTATAGAGCTAAGCGACAGTGGAGCTAGTTGCTGATGCCAAGGATTACGGTCTCTTTCTCTCGTATATAAGTAACTGGCTACTCCAGTGCGCGGCTGTCCTTCTCAATGCGACTTATCAATCCAGTCAATCAACAATATGGGCGACCACAGAGAAGCTGGGCATGGCAACTACGCTCAGGGTGAAACCGCTCCGGCTGATGAGTCTACGTTCCTCCTTCCCAAGGATGTCGGAGATGTCAAAAGCAAGATTCTCAGTACCAACTTTGCCGCATTGATGGCCGGGCTGAACGGTACATTGCCCCGCCCCCTGTAACTCGCTTGCGATAGCAAACCGAAGCTGACAGTCAAATGGGTCAACCATAAAGATGCTGCATTGGGCCCTCTGATCCCGTACATACAACCGACTTATGATGTTGGTCTTTTGCAGGTGTCCATCATCTACCTAGTCAACTTTGTGGGTTGGGTTGTCGCCTCATTCGCCAATATTCATGTCTGTTCTCATATAGGAACGGGCGGTACACTGGTCCTGGGCGCAACCATTCAGTGTCTCGGCTATGCCTTGATGTTCTGGAGTCCGCCTTTCCCCCTTTTCGTGGCAGCATTCTTCTTCACTGGTTGCGGCGTAGCTTTCCAAGATGCCCAGATGAACATGTTCACTATAACTGTGAAGGACGCCCATCGGTGGCTGGGCGTTTTGCATGCTGTGTATGGCGTCGGAACCATCCTCGCTCCATTGATCGCCAATACGATTGCCTCAAGAATGCCAGTCTGGCACCATTACTACCTTGTGACCATGTTGCTCGGCGTACTAAACATCACATCTCTGGTCTGGACCTTCAGAAAAGGGCTCTTCCGTCCGAATGTGAGCAATGCGAAGGAGACGGCCGGCAAGGAGCTTCGAGAAACAGTGTCAAACAAGACTGTGTGGATATTCAACGGCTTCTTCTTTTTGTACGTTGGCGCGGAGGTGACTGCTGGAGGTACGTTCTTCTGTGACTGGAGGCAGCTCCTTGCTGACGTGTTTCAGGTTGGCTTGTGCAGTTCCTTGTTTCGGTGAGAAATGGCGACCCTACCAAAGTAGGATATATTGCGTCCGGCTTCTGGACCGGCTTTACCTTGGGCCGTGTTGCTTTAGCGGATATCACGCATCGCTTGGGTGAACGGCGCATGGTATTCGTTTATACCGCGTTGGCTGTGGCAATGCAGCTTTTGTTCTGGCTAGTCCCAGACATCACTATCAATGCAGTCACAGTGTGTTTCTTGGGTGAGTATGCTCCATCCCAGCGCGTTTGCGAGATACAAGGTACGCCACTGTTAAGAACACCTCTAATAGTTGGTACCAGGTTTCTTTATCGGTCCTTTCTACCCAGTTGGACTCTATGTTCTCACCAAGGTCATCCCAAAAGAACTTCACGTAGGAGCAATGGGTAAGTAGCTAGCATTTGAATGTGGATTTGCTCATGCTGATCATCAAACAGGATTCACTGCCAGTCTTGGACAGGCAGGGTCCGCTGCATTCCCTTTCCTAACGGGAGCGGTGGCCTCCCAGGCCGGCGTCCAGGTTTTGCAGCCCATCATGCTGGGGCTGCTCATTGGGATTGCCTTTTTCTGGTGCTTGGTCCCTAGACAGAGGCCAATCACGCTTTGAGTAGATGTAGAAAGGCCATAGTGGCGCTACATTTGAGATGCAGCGCTATACCTACGCATGGGCAGTTTTGCTATGTTGATAGATAACATTTCGATCCTAGGACCGATGAGATTTGATGAAGATATGCTGCTTCCATGAACATCACGAGTATCATGCTCTCAAGGAAGTCGAGAAGCATTTTCACTTCGAAGCTGATCGTTCAAGCCCCATCTCTAGGCGCGCGTCTGGACCGCCACATAGATGGCAAGTCGCACACCCATTAACAGGGTGTTTGAACCGTCAATGCATATAATGATGTGTCATTATTGGTTCTTGTTTCATCACAGACAGCACTGGTCAATAAGATAATTAGCAACGGAACTTATAATATGATTCAAGTCCAACAAGCAGCAATGACAAGTAAGCTCAGAGAGAAGATTTAAGTCGACATAGCCTTACACATCCGCAGATGGTATGGCGCTCCGACTAAGGATGACTGATACGATGTTTTCATCATGTGGGAAGCAGAATAGCAAGGAAGCAAACAAACAGTGTAAAGTAGACTTACCATGTCAGAAAGATCGGGCTGGTGTGCATGCGAAGCACCTTGGGTCTCGAACACGAATGTCGATACTGTCTCCTGCAGGGCGCAGAACCCAGAGCGGCTAAACGCAGCACATATACCTAGGCAGGCAGGCAGGCAGGCAGACAGGTAAGCATGAGGCAATCACATGAAAACCAATCTGATCAACCTCAATCATCATACGAAACGATCCTCCTGCCCGTAAACTGCGGCACAGGCCTAGAAGCCGCCTTCGAAGTCGGATTCGAAGCAGAAGCAGAAGCACACCCATCCCCATCCCCATAATCCATCTTCACATCCACATCTCCTTTCCCTTCTGCCCGAGACTTGCTCGCTTGTTCTGTACCAGCTGCATTTGATTTTGCGTTCGCATCCGCATCTGCAGCTACGGCACGCTCCGCAGCAGCAGCAGCAGCATCCGCCTCCTCCTCCTCACGCAACTCCTTCTCCCTCCTCAACGCATGGATCTCACTATGTCTGAATATGCGGATTTGTTCGTCCGTGAGGGTGCGTTTCACGCCGTCGGGGTAGTAGCCTAGGTCTTCTTCTTCTTCTTCTTCTTCGTAGTAATAGTATTCATACTGTTCTTCTTCCAAGGTGTATTGTGCTTCGTGGTTGTATGAGGGGTATTCTTCGGGCTGGTTGGTATTCGTCACTTGTTGTGTTTGTAGCTGTGGTGTTTGGGCGATGACGCTCCCCGGGAAGTGTTTTGCTTGGAAAGCGTGGAGGTCTTCCTGTGGAGGTTAGGTATTTGCACATTTGGTTCTTCTGGGGAGGATAACGTACGATGGTAATAGGTGGTGGGGTGATGAGGGACATTTTGGAGGGTGTGGGATGAATCTTTTGTTGATTAAGGGGCGGGGGGGAGAAGGATTGAAGATGAATTTGAGGATGTAAGAAGATAGCTAGCTAGCTAGGTAAGCTAAGCTACGCGTGTGTTGGTGGTGGGTGGGTTAGCGGTTTGTGACGTTGCCTTGGCGGGATGTATTGTATTGTATGGTACGGATGAATATTACGGGTGGTTATGCTGGTGTGTTCATAATCTACACAGGATGAAATTTACTGGGGAAATAAGCTAAAAGTATATGAGACTATTGTTGGTTCAGTGAATACTTTGTTTTTCTTAGTTACTATGTTTGATGGTTGAAAGGTCTGGTGATTGTATTGAGCACTTGGAGAGGGTGGATTTCATTCGGGTATTGTCGTTGATGGAATATATTTAATCTCTTATGACTAACGGTAGTAGTACTGTTAGTAGTAGTAGCTTGGTCGACATACAGACAGATAGACAGACCATTAAGTACTACTAGCTGTTTCAGGGTATGGTGTCTGGTCGATGCCCGTGTGGATATTTAGTAGCTTGAGGTGCTCAATCCAAGGTTATGCTGTTGTTGATCTGGGTAAAGTATATGAGTTCGGTGAGGTAGAGAGTTGGAACAACAATCCACTACGACGGCATAGGCTACAATATTGGTCATGGGATGCAGTTAGTACAATCTAGTATGTGAGAAAGTTATGCACTTCTAGTAGTTACTAGTATATCTGTCATGAGAAATCTAGTAGTATGGGAATAGCCGAGGCATATTCGAGTTACACTGTGCACAGTTGACCGGTGTTGGTAGTTTAGTACTCAGTTTCTACTACTTCGATATCTTATGAACCTGGAAGCTAGTATAACCAGTAACCAATTCGGTCCCTGATATACTATGAGTATCGCTGGAAGAGTCAGCGTTAATAACAACTTACCTATCAACCACAGTATTTAGCAAAACCTTCCATCTATGTGCACTTCTATGTCTATATAACTGTCATCGCTCTACTGCAGCGGTATACTAGAAACATGATTCCCAATCTTCACCTTGACACAATCAAACCGCACCTTCAACTCACGTGCCCTACGCAAATCCACACCTCCGATCAGCTCCCTCTCTGCAGACAATAGACCCGTCAAGCTCCATGCCAACGAGATATGGAAGCAGTGAGAGTAATCAGCCCCAGACTGGCCAGACTGGCAAGACTCGCTCGACACCCGTGGCAGCGTCGTACCACCACCATTTGACTTCCACTCAGCCGCCACATCCTGCGACGACTCGTATAGCGGAGGCTGTTCAAACCGCGCCAGGGCTCGATTAGACAACCGAAGAAGACGATTCAAATTATCTTCCTCTGGCTTTTCCGCACGTAAGACATAGAACCACCGCGTCTTCTCGTAATTTGAGACACAGTCGAGGCTATTTGTCGAGACGTGGAACCTTGCACAATTTGTCAGCATGATGAATTGATCGATCACGAAGATAATAGTCCCAAGAAAATAAGCAAGTCAGCTACTTACGTTGGAATCTGCGACTCTTTCAGCTGAGACTGAAACATGTCCAAGAATGACTGTCGCTGTTCTGTCCGTAGCACGACCGGTCTAGACAGACTAATGTGGAGGGGCAGTTGTGCGCCAAGATCACTATGTAGTAGGCTGTGGAGCTGAATCGTGCTTCCATCGAGCATATCCTTGATCTGCGCTATGACATCGCTAAGAATAGAAAGCTCATCTTTGGATGGATACCCTGTAGATTGGTCATATGGGTGTTATTTCCGTTCTCGAGAACCAAATTACTGCCAGAGGATGCTGGTGGTGGTGGTGGTGGTGGTGGGGATGATGATGGATGACACATACACTCCAAGTAGATGTGGGTCGGCCAGTTCCCTTCAACATGGGGAATGACCCTTTTTCGGCCTCCGTGGAGACTGGGGTCGTCGGTCACGCTGACACGAGTGCTGGAGGCATAGAGATCGTGAAATGCGGCTGGTAAGGGTGGGAGTGAGGAAGATGGATTGTTGGCGGCTTGACGGGGCCTTTTTGCTGGGGGCTGAGGGGGCTCGTTCTCTGCTTCGGATTCAGATTCAGAATATTGCACCAAAGCCATTACAGGGTCAGGGACATTGGCTGGAAGTGGTCATCCAGGATGAAATTGGTGGCCGCAGTTGGAGTAGTAAATTGTTGTTCCATCGGGTCGGCATGGTGGAGCCGGGCTGTCCGTATTGAAACTCTGCTTTTTTACGGGTAGGGCTGCCAAGACTCGCCAGTTGGAGCTGGAAGAGGTTCTAGATTGGAGTGGACTTTTTACAGATGAACAGAACACATCATGGTTTTGATTTTGTGAGAAGAATGATCTGTTATGAGATGACTTTTTTTTTTTTCTCGATTACTGTTATGGTGGCTCCAAATGTATACTCTGTACGTTGGAGCGTCCGTCTTACTGTCTCAGCAGAGGTCAACAAGGATCGGAGCACAAGGGATCACAAAGTGAGCAAGGACAATAGTGAGATACTTCATCGATTCTTTGTTGGTTAGCATTAATTATTGCCCAGAAAACTCCGTAGCAGCAGGGGTATGGGCACATATTGGATGGATTACGTCGAAGCTTGTTCGCATTATCCATGTCACCTCGCAAGGGTTGGGGCCCCTATCCATGGATGGACCTCAGCCCCCCCTGACAGGGAGAGAAAGTAGACCGAATGTACCTGGCAATATGCGTCCATTACACTTGGCTCGTTTCTAATTATAAGCCTGCAATACTTCTAGTCCCTGAGGGTTCGTAGGACCAATCTAGACCCTGTGTAACACATTCTCCATGGCACTGGGTCGCCCATGCAGACCGTCGCAGACTGACATGCGATGCGGACCATCAAATTACTTTGTGCGTGGATGAGTGTGTAACAAGCACCTCGTAGAAGCGCCTGTCAGAAGCATGCAGATGTTAATACAGGCGCGTGCTTTTTAGTCACAAACCAAAACTTGTTTCAAGACTAGCAAAGCTAGATCCAGCCCGCCGTTGGCGCTATCGTGGTCACTAAAGATAAGCTTAAAGACGGAGCTGAAGCTCACTCAGCATAGTGGGTATTATTCCGTAGGTCACTAGTTAACTTGATAAACCCGTTAAGATACTCAACCTGTTTCTTTCAAATGATGTAAAATTGAATGTCAGAAGGAATTCGCAGGATGTCGTCGCAGTCAGTTGGGGTTGGGAAGTCGGGTGGTTATGATGTCAAGACTCCAATTGCAGAGGAAGTTGGTGCAAATGATTTAGTCAGCCGGTGGATGGTGGCCCTGGGCATCCACAGCTGACGACGACACGACAATCATGACGGTGAGAATTGCCACTGCGACTCCACTAGAATCCCTCAGGGACCTTCTAGAGGTTCCATGGTGATTTACTAATATCAGCCTGGGCCATCCTGACTGGTTCTTCAAGTCTAGAACCGGGAGGGGCGGAGGGGGAAGTGCCCTGGGGCCCGAGCCTTCCGCGCACCTACAGAATGAGGGCATTCAGTGCAAAGTACTAACTAAGACTCGACAACAGGAGATGTTGACCAGGTATTTTCATCATCGAAGAAGACATCCGATGCAACCGAACCGGTCTAGTCTTGACCATACGTACTCATCTGTAGTAGACTCTAGCCTTATCGATAAGGCGTGTAATAGTACAAACCCACCCCCGGATCGCGTGGAAGCAAAAGTGAGCAAATGGAAAAGCAATGCGGCGCTACTCGTCACGTCACGGTCCACCGGTTCGGCTTTGCACTTGCATGACCAGCGATGACCAGAGCCTAAATAATCATGATGAATTATGACTCTCCCCTCTGCTCTTCTCGCCTCTTTTACTCTCCGTCTTGTCCTCTTTCTCTCATCCTCTTCATACTTCTTCCAACTACTCCCATCTAACAACCACTACCTTGCAAACCAACTTATACTACTTACTCTCATACTTCCAAACCTACTCTGCCACACTCATAACCACACAGACCGCAGCTTCAACGTTACTCCCCAACTCTATAATCAATACCCGACTTCACCGCTGCTAAGCCCCACCACTCTTTTGAGTTACGGGCTGCAGACGCAGGCAGTCACTAGTAGGCAATACTATTAAACGCCTACATACATTTATAGGGCATCCCGCTGTCCCTATATATACCTAACTCTCATCCTCCAACTTTGATAGGCATCCTCATCCCTCCATTTCTCTCCTCCCTTCGTATTTTTACTTCCTCCGGCGTCCAGTTACTATGGCGTCCGCCGTTCTCCCAGCCTGTGCGACCCCATACCGGGCCTCTTACTCCCATCGGTATCCTTCCAACCTGATGGACATGGGCGTTGAAATGGATTCGTATGGATCCTACCAACGTTTCCACTCTCCCTCTCCCAGTCGGCGGTCCTTGAACCGTCAGCGCTCTACGTCTTTCCCCTCGGTCTACTATTCGGGCTCTCCAGAGCATCATCCTGTCGAGCCTCGACGGAAGAAGGAGAGTAGTTCTCGGCGCCGTCGTCATGGCAGCCCGTCGAACCCTCAGCCGGCCAGATACTCGAGGAACTCGATGCTGGTCAATCCAGACGTTATTGATCGTCTGGACAGTGCGAGTCTCTGCCAGTACCATCACGAGGGGCCCTACGATGCTGTCTATGCGGAGAGGAACTACCACACCAAGCAGAGCCCCGTCGAGGCAGTCAAAGATTCAACTGCCGAGACCTTGAAGGCGACTCCGAAAGATAAAATTAGGGACTGCATCGATAGTCACCGTCCTCTGGACGGAGTGGCTTATTATCCTCCAGGTCACACAGACATGGAGGGCCGCACCTACGAATACGAGGAGGGGCCGAACATGATGAACGACTATGGAAACTTTATGCGTTGTCCCGGTCAAGTAAGTTCCTGATTTGCTGTGCATTGTTTTGCAACAGGCTCTAACATCCTTCTAGAAATTCACCGATGAGGATTTCAAAAAGGACCCCTTTTACAATGCACCCCACCCCAAGCCATTCGCCTCGCTCCGGAAAGCGCTCAGTATCCGTCGTCGCAAGCGCAGCGGAACTTCTTAATCCAGTTCATTTGGACTTTTTGTATACGGCCGCACTACAACATGCATTTGCGGTTGGTTCGTCTATAAGACCGCAGTCTCTTTGAGAGAGCTGCGAGAGTTGGTGTTGGGTTTTGATGATTTTGAAGCGTTATTTTTCTATATGTATTTTACCATGATTCCCCTGCTACACCGGTCATGACCTCGGTGATTACGGTATGACATGATGTGTCACGCTCGGAGTTGAAGCCTGGAGTATCACGGTGGGAGGCGTTCATGGTTGCCACAACCCCTTTGATGGGTTTGACTTGGGAATATCCATGGTTGTTCTTACTTCTGCTGTCTGACAGTCAAACTTGACGATTCACAATCTGCCACTGCTCATTAAAACTGTAGAGTGCATACAGCGTAATTATCTGTCCACCATACGGAGCCGCGTTAGCGTAACAATTCATCCAGTGTGTTGTATTGCACACTACTAAATATACTACTCATACTCCTATCTGTAACAAGTAATCTGCGAGACATGCATCTGACATGTCCTAGAGCCTGCGGAACCTGTATGACTTCACGTCAAAGCGCATGGCATAGTTACTCGACCTACTAGTAATTATCCCTTATCAGTCTGTATATTTACTCAGCGAAATAAGAAAAATAACCAAATCGATAAGTGATTTCAATCTAGCAGCTACTAATAGCTTGAGCAGCGTGGCATCATCATGTACCGTGACCGTTATAGCACTCCAAGTCGCTCCTGACGCCCCTTAATCTTACCAACACGGCCATGCGACAGCATGATCTTGATCTCGTTATCCCAACCCGTCAGCTGATGCAAGGACATTAACGTTGCGAGTTGCGATCGCTGAAGAAACCACTATATATTGAAATCCTTGTGAAGTACCGCGCCAATCCCCCAAAATAACAACGAAGAGAACAAAGACAGAAAGTCGATTTGTAAACGCTTTCTATAAGATATAGACCCATACATCTAGACTACCGTGGATCATCGCAGTGGGGAGCTGTCTGAAACAAGGGTTTTTTCTTTTGGCGGCGATAAGCCGGCGGAGATGGAATTGATTTGATGACTATTGATGACTACTTGCGGATCATGCAACTCCGCGCCACCAAGGACAACTTGTCCACTTCGCAACGGACATTCCTTGAATAGTCAAGTCCCCTCGTTCCACCTGCTTCTTTATTCCCATCATTCGTTTTTGCTTCCTTTTGCTGCAGTTGGAACTGCTTCACCTCTTGTGCAGGGAAATGTCATTTGGCCTGATCGCGATTGACCGTTGACAATCCAGGCCTCCCTTCCGTCGCTGATCTTCATGTGAAGGACCCTGCTTCTTGGCTTACCTACCATAACCTTCATTGCATAGCTTCACTCTATACACTCTATATTTTTGTCATACACTCCGATCCTTTCCTACGTTCTTGTCCACTCGTTTCCGCCGGTCTCCGGCCATCCCAAGATGCGCTCCGCAGCCAAATTTTTCTATCTGGCGGTATTTGCCCTGTCGAGGCTTTCCAATGCCGAGACTGGGCTGCACCATAATCAGGACAAGTGTGCGGTAAGTCGATACAACGCTCAGACATGCGCTTTGGCTGCATGCACATTGAAGACTAGACTTGGCTGATCCATTCTCATCTCTACCAGATTGACCCCACTGCCATGGTGTCCGACGCTTGTGTCTCCTACGCCACCATCGATCATCTGAACGATCAAGTCTACACCCTCCTCCAATCCATTACGCAAGATACCGATTTCTTTTCGTACTACCGTCTGAACCTCTTCAACAAAGTCTGTCCGTTCTGGAACGATGCGAATAGCATGTGCGGGAACATCGCATGCTCCGTCAACACAATCGAGTCCGAGGACGACATCCCGTTAACATGGCGCGCGGAGGAGCTCAGTAAACTCGAGGGACCAAAAGCCGGCCATCCGGGCCGCAATCAGCGAAAGGAGCGACCTCTTAATCGTCCGCTCCAGGGAATGCTAGGTGAAAATGTTAAAGAGAGTTGTGTGGTGGAGTATGATGATGAATGTGACGAACGGGACTACTGTGTTCCCGAAGATGAGGGTGCTAGCGGCAAGGGAGACTATGTCAGTCTCGTTGATAATCCAGAGCGTTTCACGGGGTACGCTGGTATGGGCGCTCACCAGGTTTGGGACGCAATCTATCGGGAGAATTGCTTCCTCAAACCGGTGCCAGAGCTGTCACCTGTGACCCCTCAGCTGGGTGGTCTTCAAGCGGTCAACGATTTCCGTCATGTGCTTCAGCAGGAGCTGAAGCGCCCCGACCTGCTTCCCTTGGACAACGAGTGTCTCGAGAAGCGCGTGTTCCATCGTCTCATCAGTGGAATGCATGCGTCTATCTCGACCCACCTTTGCTGGGATTACCTCAATCAGACGACGGGGCAATGGCATCCCAACCTTCAATGTTTCAAAGATCGCCTCCACGATCACCCGGAGCGCATCTCGAACCTGTACTTCAACTACGCGCTGGTTTCGCGGGCCGTGGCGAAGTTGCAGAAACACCTACACAACTACAACTACTGCGTCAGTGATCCGATCCAGGATGCCATGACTAGGGAGAAGGTCTCCAAGTTGACCTCGACCTTGGCTGATCGCCCTCAAATTTTCGACGAGAACCTCATGTTCCAGGATCCCAGCGCTGCTGGCTTGAAGGAAGACTTCCGCAACCGATTTCGCAATGTCAGTCGCCTGATGGACTGTGTCGGATGCGATAAATGCCGCCTCTGGGGCAAGCTTCAAGTGAATGGGTATGGCACCGCTCTGAAGGTGCTGTTCGAGTACGACGAGACCAAGAATGGCGAGAACCCGTTGCTGCGCCGGACTGAGCTGGTGGCACTGATCAACACCCTTGGTCGCATTTCTCACAGCATTGCGGCCGTCCGGAGTTTCCACCGGGCCATGGATGTGGGCGATGGGGAGGTCTTCACCATTCCCGCAAGCATTGCGTCCAAGGATCGTAGTGGCAAGAAGAAGACCCGACGACTTCTCAAAGACGGTGGCTCGACCTTCTACTACGAGGATGGCGATGATGACAGCTTTGTATACATCACCGAGAAGCTTCCGTGGGAGAAGGTCCGAGTACGCCGCGACACGGATACGGCCTGGGACGACATGAAGGCCGAACTTTCTATGATCGGGGACATTCTCGTCTACGTGCTGAAGAGCTGGGTCAATGCACCGAAGACATTGTAAGTGATGGCGCCCGATAACGTTCGCTGTTCTCTCTGTATACTAACTAGGCGTTGCAGCTTTGAAATCGCCGTCCTGGAAATCGCTCGGGTATGGAACTACTGGCTGGGTCTGCCTGTACCACCACGGTCCTGGAGGATCCAGCTCCCCAAGCGACCCACCCCTCCGACACCCCCGACCCATGAGGAGCTTTAGACACTAGAAGTTGGGAGACGTGGAAGATGGCGGTGACTGGGATTGTATTGTATAACTAGCGTCGTGGAGGACTAATCTTTTTCCGATCTGTTTGGGCCGGCGTTGTTGACGATGCCTGTTGGAAAAATCGCATCTCGGGAGTTCTGGGAGCATTTAGGCCGCTGTACATTTTCACTTTCCAAGCAATGGGCCTGAGCATTTGATGGTGATATATTACATTCAGATAATTTGGACAACAAATATGATATCCCACTCGATAGATAACTAAATTGTCTACTAATTATTAATCTGACCCAAGTAGATGATAGATAAGTGGTAACTAAATCATCACCGGGGACTTAACTCGGCAAGCGGGAAGCCTCGGTCCATCGGGACCACATGCGACCTTTTCTCCTCTTTTCTGGCTTTTTCTCCACCGCCTCCATCTCCATCGCCATCCATCGCCTCTCATTCATTCATTCATCACATTCAGTCCATCCAATCCATCCAATCTATCGCCCGGGCTGTCTCTTTCTCCCCCTTCCCCTCTCTTCTTCCCCAGACTACTCCCACCCCCCAACCCCCCTAAATCCTTCTTTCGCGCTATTCCCACCTTCTCTCGCTCTCGCTCTCGCTTTGACTGGCCTCCTCTGTGAGGTCCATCTCCATGCGAGATTGCTGAGGTACCAAACCCCTCCCGCATATCCATGGCGTCCGTTTCGCCACCCAAACCGTGGGAGAGGGCAGGCGCTGCTGCTGGTATGTCCACAGCTCTCTTGGAACACAATACAACAATAAATCACATTTTCATCTGTCTGCATACGGGGTAGCTGACATGTCACTCACTTGAAGGGTCTCCTGCTTTGACAACATCATCGGCGGCTACTCCGACCGCCTCATCCGCGATGACGGCCAGTTCGACTACTCCGACCGCGGCCGCCAGCGCCTCGGCCCCCACAGCCACAGCATCCTCGACATCTACTGCTCCCGATTTACCGTCTCGTCCTAATACCCTGAATTCCGTTGTCAATCGCACCGCCTCCAATTATTCTCCCTACTCGGCCTCCCGGTTCGGCGCAAGTCCTTACGGCGGCTACGGAAGCTACTCGTCGCCGTACTCCCGCTTCGGCACCATGGGCTCCATGTACGGAAGCTACGGTGGCATGGGAGGCTATGGCGGCATGTATGGTGGTATGGGAGGCATGGGAGGGATGTACGGCGGGATGCCCGGTGATCCCAACGATCCCAACAGCCTGACGAATTCCTTCAGCCAAAGCACCCAAGCTACATTTCAGATGATTGAGAGTATCGTGGGTGCGTTTGGAGGATTCGCTCAGATGCTGGAGAGCACATACATGGCGACTCACAGCTCCTTCTTTGGTATGTTAAAACCTTTGTCTCTGCGTGTTGTTGTCCGTTCGCTAACAGTTGTTCAGCCATGGTCTCCGTAGCAGAGCAGTTCGGCAACCTCCGAAACACGCTTGGCTCCGCCCTCGGTATCTTCACCATCATCCGCTGGTTCAAGACCTTGATCGCGAAGATCACCGGTCGTCCCCCGCCGGCTGATGCCACCGCCCTCACTCCGTCCGCCTTTGCAGCATTCCTCAGCGGCCGCTCCTCCCCCGCCACCCTACCGGATGGCTCTCCCGCTCCCCCCAAGCCCTCTAAGAAGCCGTTCTTCATGTTCCTTATCGCCGTCTTCGGTCTTCCCTACTTGATGGGCAAGCTGATCAAGGCTCTTGCTCGGTCGCAAGAGGAGCGCCGCCAGTTGATGCTGGGTCCAAATGGGGAGCCCGTGCAGGGCCAGGGTGCACCGCTCGACCCTTCCAAGCTTGACTTCTGCCGTGTGCTCTACGACTACACCCCTGAAGCCCAGGAGAGCTCCGGCATCGACCTGGCCGTGAAGAAGGGCGACATCGTCGCTGTCCTTAGTAAATCCGATCCTATGGGTAATGCCTCGG